TGACTCCAGCCATGCCTTGGGTCTCTGGTCCTTGGCTGCTGCCTGTCCAATACAGAAGACAGTCCCTTGTTTGATGGCTTCCTAAAGAACCTAAGAAGCCCAGACATCAGAAACTTTGAACAGACCAACCAGACACACAGGTCATTAGCTCTCCCATTAAGGAGAGAGGAACAGTATTTCTATTTAAACCCTAATGAGCCTTTCTACATTTGTGTGTGATCATATTGTATGGATCCATGCTCTCCTTTTTGGGGTGATGGCTTTTCTCTCTTACAACAGAGCCAGAGTAGTCAGTCTCCCGTTGAGTCCCAGATATATGGATTTGGTTGTGGATTTGGCCAGAAGAGGGAGACCAGGACTCTGCACATGCTCAGAGTTACCCTTTTCATGAATTATTCTACCACAAATTGAATTGAGAACAGGTTGCTGCTGGTTGAAGCCATGGCTCAAATTAAGGCTCTCCTCTTCTGTGATGGACGCGGCTGACGCAAACCATGCCATGACTGTAATTGCGGCTTTGGGAATCTTTGCATGGGCTGAAGTGCTACGGATGATGAAGCACAGGTGCATATCATAATTAACATTAATGAGAATTAAAGCCGGCCTTTCCTTTGCAGTCTCACATAGAAGGTCATGTCAAGCTGTGTAATCTCTCCTCCCAGCCTACTAATGTTTTTGGCTCCCCTGTCTTTCACCGCCGTGCCCCCCTCTTTTTTTGCTGCTGTTTAAAACCAATGAGCTGTGTGCCTCTGTATAATGAGCTGGGTAAGTCAGTGTAATTGATCTGCGAGGGGGAAGAAGTGAGGCACAGCAGTAGGTGGAGAAAAGGCCATTAGAGTTAATAGCCATTCTCCAGTTTAACTCCATCAGTCCCCTTTCTTTGTTAAGGCTGGGTTTTAATTGCCAGAAACAACTCTGGGAGCCCATCTTGGCTATTGAGTTGGGCTATGGGTATAATGGCCAAACTCTGATCGTTAGTCCTGATTAGAGGAGATCCAATGGATCAGCTGGGTTTACCTGTGTGTTGACCCACCATTCAACAATTTGTACAGTGGGTCTATTCTAGCTAAAACCAACCAACAGAATTCCAGCCAATAAATCCTTATCAGTTAAGCAGTGTGGATATGTGTAAATATTCATGTGTGTGCGCGTCTTCACTGTGAAACCTAGACACTGAAACTTGGCATGGATTTTTCACCTTGGTGTTATTCGATTTTGAAAATGAATGAATTAATTTTACTTAATTCAAATCTCTCGGCAGCTTGTAGTTCCATCTTCATTCACTAGGTGGCAACCTTTCTTAACCATCAGAAAGGAAGCTGCAGCAAGGTATGGCATATTTGTTTCTCCAAGTGCCATCTAGCTGGAAGTATGTTGGCCAGAGACACATGGATGCAACTGTTTGCAGGACCCATGGCAGAAACTGTTCAAAATGTTAAGGCCAGAAAAATGGTCAGAGCCAGAGAGCCCAAGAAGATGTCCAGAAGGGGCTAGAAACCAAACTCTGTGAGAAATGGGAAAGGAAATCAAGTATCTTTAGCTTAGAGAAGAGACAATTTGCAGGTACTGTGATGGAGATTTTTAAATATCTAGACTACTGGATCTAAACTGTAGGAAATGACTGAACATTAGAAGGAACTTCCTGATAGTAAAAGCTGATTAACAGTGGCATTGACTAACTCAAAGGCTAGTGGTCTCTTCTTTGCTGACTATTTTAAAGCAGAGATATCTGAAGGGAACTTCACAGTGAGTTCCTGCATTTGCACAGGGTTGGATAGATGGCCCCTGTGGTCCCTTCCAGCTCCGCAATCCCATGCTTCTTACAAGTCCCTCAGCCTACTCTCTGAAGTGTGAGCACCCAAAGTTGAGCACAACTCTATTCGCACAATTCCCACCCCTGGCTTAAAACGATTCCTGAAACACAAACAGCGTGCCACAAACAGTCAAAGGATTTCCTTATTCCGAGAAGTGTTTTTAAAGGGTTGCTTTATTTCCTCCTCTTTTTAGGCAAATGTTTCCTTTGGAAGAGTTTGGCTTGACTTCAGGACACTTCTAAAAGGGGCCAGACGCACACCTACACAAACCGGAGTTGACACTATGTTTTTCCAGTGGCCTCTGGAAGCAGCAGAACTACTGTTGTGCAAACTCTAGGATTAATGTTTTCAGTCCTCCTCTTGTCAGCATTTACGAGGGAGACTTGGCTTGAAAGAATTTGTTTGCAGCCTTTGGGAGTTGCTGTCTAGTCTGCAATTGCTCCCCTCTTTTTTGTTCCTTCCCCTTTGCTTTGGGAAGAGGGGGGGCGGGCGGTGTTGAAGTGCCCCCAGGGCCTAACTGGAGAAGAACATTCCTTACTGGGCCAAATGGGCTGTTGACCTTGGAGGAAGCCGCTTTCTGAGTACAAGCCCCATGGGCTGAAGGAAGGAATGTTCTCCAAGAGTTATTTCATACCTGCAGGTCGCATGGCAATGCTTTCATGCACCTGGCGGAAAATCCAGGATAACAATCTGGACTAAAAGTCTGGACAAAGAGGATTTGTCACTCTGCCGCCTGCTCTCCCCATAACTTCTCCTGGCTTCCATTTGCAAAGACTTTGCCTGCTTCAAGGATATGATCCAGAGCACAATGCACAGAATGAGCCTCCCTTCCCTTGATCTCATCAACTGGATTGCAAGTACCTACTTTTTGCAAGGTCTTCCAGGTAGGCCTGGATCCCATGTGCATTGCTCTCCCTCTAACTCCACCGCTGCATTTGCCCTCAGAGATCCAGCTGTGCCTGTTCTGTGATCCCCGATTGCTAGGGATGATTTCAGGAAGAATAAGCTGAGAGGGGTGTCAAAGCAGCTTGCAAGTAAGACTGGGAAAAATCAAATCAAATCAAAGGTGTTTCTTCTCCCTAGGAACCCTTTGGATCTTCTTCAAAGGCTCAGCGCTCATCCTGCAAGACACCTGCTGGTACCCACCAGGAAGGCGATTGGTGGTCGCCTAGCAACCGCACAGAACATTTCCATCAAGTTCTGAAAAGACATCCCAGGGGGCGAAGAGAGACAATCCATTTACCCAGTAGCAACTTACAGAGATGTGCCTATGGCCCAGAGGGGACCTGTTTTTCTGAAACCTTTCAGCCAAGAGAAAGCTCATCTCCTCTCTAATGGCAAAGGAGCCAGGATGCATCCAAGGGCTGGACCACTTTCCTCATCTCTAGCCCTCCGGTGGTTCCAGCCTCATTATTCCCCAGCCTGGTGCCCCCCTACCCCAGCCAAGCTGGTCGATGGCTGCATGCCAGTTGCAGATGATGGGTACTGTAGTCCAATACATCTCAGAATCATAGAGGCCTAGAGCTGGAAGAGACCCCAAGGGCCAGCCAGTCCAACCCCCTTCTGCCATTCAGGAAGACACAATCATACACATCTGGAGGGCACCAGATTAGGAAAGGGTGAGGGAGCCCAAACATGCTCCGGTCTCTTGTCCCCAACACTTCAAGTTGAAGCGGACACTGAGGTCTAATCTGCCCTGCAGGAATAATACAGTTTGATGCAAATCTAACTGCTGTGGCTCATTGCTATGGAATTATGCAATTTGTAGTTTTGTGAGATACTGAGGCTTCTCTGTCAGAGAGCTCTGGTGCCACAACAAACTACAAATCCCAGAATTCCATAGCACTGAGTCATGACAGGTAAAGTGGTGTCAAATTGCATTAATTTTGCAGCGTAGATGCAGCCTAGGATTCAGGATGTTGCCTAAGTGCTTTCAAGAGTGGATAAATCATGCCACTGACATGCACAGCCTCACCAGATATTGCCAAGACATTCTGAGCAACCTTTCCTCCTTTCCTCTTGGCAGAGCAGACATCTTCTGCCAGCATGCCAATTGCAGGTGTGCTCAGGAGACACGTAATGGGGAAGTCTTTCAACAACTCTTGACATTTTCTAAAAAAGGCTGGACAGCTCCCTGTTGGGGATGCTTTAGTTGGAGATCCTGGACTGAGCAGCAAGGTAGAATAGATGGCCTCGGGGGACCCTTCCAGCTCCAGGATTCTGGGACTCTATTCTATGACTCATAAAGGAGCCTCTGATCAATATGGATCAAAAGGGACAGAGAACAATCTGCCTGCTTCTCTGGTCAAAGCTCATGCACTTGGAAGGCAGGCACACTGTGTGACTTCCATAGGTCCACCTTCTGGCCTCGGTCAGCCAGGCTCCTCCAGGACTTCACGCAAGGCAAGGTCCTCTTTCCCAGGCAAGAAAGAGTCCAGGTTGAGTCCTTTTCCCTGGACACACAGCCAGGGCTGACCCTGGGACCACTGAGTGGTGGGCTTTCGTGGCATTTGCCTCCTCCTCCTCCCTCCCTCCCTGCAACTCCAACAGGCCAGAAGCTCTTGTCCAAGATGGTCAGCCTAGAAAACAAACAGGGCCAACGCTGCCCTCCCTTTGGCACAATGGAGGCATTCTGCGCTCATAATGGCTCATTGTCGATTCCTCCGGCGTGTGTGTGTGTGTGCAAATGGAATGCAACAAGGACCGACATGTTGGGTTGGGGGAACGGGGTGGGAAGACCGACAACAATGAGAGCATTGAACAGTCCTCTTGCATGCATGCGGCATGAAACAAGGCAACCACTGCAATATAACCCTGACCCTTGCCATTATTTTCCCACTCTTTGTTGCTCAAGAAGTTCCCTCTAGGACAGGTTTAGGTTATGCTTTACTGCTCTTTTATAAAGGTCATTGACTATTTGGCTTTATTTGCAGATCAATAGAACAGGCTCTGTAGGCTCTTAGACATGGAATTTATCTTCCTTCAAACCTTGATTTTGCCATTTTATATAAAGGACACCATTTTACTTGCTCTTGCGTGCCTTCAACTCATTTCTGACTTATGGCAACCCTAAGGCAAACCTGTTCATGGGGTTTTCTTGGCAAGATTTGTCAAGAGGAGGTTTGCAACTGACTTCCCCTGAAGCTGAGAGAGTGTGGCTTGTCCAAGATCAACCAGTGGGTTTCATGGCCGAGCTGGGAATCGAACCCTGGTCTCCAGAGTTGTAGTCCAGCATGCAAACCATTATGGCTATTACCTAACCCTGCCGTATTTTCCTCCTTGTCTCCTTGGCTGAATGGGGCTTTCAACTCCCCCCATCTCCAGGGGAAATTTTTTCCGGACCTTGGAAAGGTTTTTGTTGTTGCCTTAGACTGCAGCTTTCCTGCATCCCTCTGGGTCCACACGGCTGTGAGGTTGCTACCTGTCCCATCACCATCCTGCCCTGCCGAAGTCCAATGGCTGGAAGGCTTCTTGACCTCCTTGCTGCCCAAATTTCTTTCCTCCTTCTAATGAGAAAATAAAACGTTGGCTTCCCCCCACGTATGGAACAAGCGCAAGATTTCCTGTTCTTCAGCCGGCTCAAAAGTTCAAACAGCCGATTGAAATCGTGCCTGGAAACCATGTGTGAGCACTCAAATGTCAATTAATATCCGAGGAGAGGGCCACCTATCGTCAAATTTAGCAGGAAGAGTTATGGCGACATTTCCGGTGCAAGGGCTGAGGTTTACTGCTATGTGTCATCGAGAGGCCTTTAAACAGACCTGATCAAAGATCCTTTTGTCAGCTTCTAATGAATTAATGGAGGACAGGTTTTTTTCATAAGGAAAGCTCGTGTTTCCAAGGGAGGTTACATGGAAGGGCGGCTGGAAATTGGTTGCACTCCGAGCATCTGCATGTTTGTGAAGTGAAGGCAGCAGATTAGCTCCTTCTGCATTTCTTTTCCATGCATGCATAAAATGGAAATGAGAAACTCCCACAGCCTTTTATATATATATATATATATATATATATATATATATATATATATATGGTTTTGCTCCTAGAAGAAGAAGAGAGAGAGATGCTTTGACCCCATGCACTTTTGCACTTTGCCTAAATGCCGAAAGCACAAGTAGGAACGTAGCTAGACACCTGTGACATAGCAGCTTATGTCATATAAATCCAATAAATAAATAAAAGTTTCTTTGCAAAAGCAGTTAGACAACTTTGTGGGATATGGAATGGCAAAATTACAATAAAGGTTATGGAAGTGGAGATGTCCTTTTGGCTGTGCTTGCCCATCCATATTCAGTTGTGCATTTCGGTGCATCTTTGGTTGCTCATTTGGATGCACATTTTCAAGTCTGTGTTCGGTTGTGCACTGGGGTGTAAATTCAGTTGTACTACATTGATGCTCAGCACATAGATTGTGTAGTATAGTCAACCAGGAACTTCATATGTACGATGTATATTGGAGAGAGGATCTCAGCCGATGTGTGTCCTACTTTACAGGGAATAGCCCTCTCTCTGAAGAGCTGCCCAGATGAAATCTGCTTTAAAGCAACAGGCCAGGATGTTGTTGGTAACACCACTACACCCGCAGCTGCAGTTTTTCTAGGACTGTCCTGCGGTTGTGAGGAAAGAGGCACAAAATCTCTCCATCCTTCCTGGCGACTTCACCCTGGGCCTGTTCCTCTTATGGTTAACCTTCGCTCCCTTGCTTACTAATATGAAGTCTCTCCTCTGCATCTTTATGATGAGATATATTTATTTACTTTTTCACACTCAGGGGTCCTGTTGGTGTCTTGCACAGGTGTAGGTTTCCCCCATGGAAGCAGCTGAGACTTTTTTGTCCAATGTGGAAGGAATGTCACATTCATTTCAAAGTTGCAGAAGCAGCGGAGGGGCCACGGGCAAATTCTCTCCAATCCCTACTTTGACCAAAGTACACCTGACCTTAAAAGCAAATTTGCACCCAATTTGAAGGGTTGTTGTTTGGAAAAAGCAAATTGCCTTAAGTGGGAAGGAGGAAGGGGAGACCGATAATGAGTTGGCTTGCAGTGGCTTGGAGGGAGAAATGCATCCTCCCCACCAGCACTGTGTTCCCAAGGGATGCTCCTGCTCCAAAACTAATGTTTGCATGCAGAGGAAATTGGTGTCAATGGGGGCTCCTCCCTCAAAGCAAAGACATGAGCTTCCTTCCCAAAGAGGGATTTCCCCTGAGGAGCGTCGTTGCAGGGTGGAAAGGGCTAATGGCTTCATTCACATCTCATCCCATTAATTATCTCTTCTCTGCGCCCCACAACCCCCAAGAGGCCGACGCACAATTTGCATTTTCCAAAAAAAGCAACAACCCAGCCTGTACTCTGCAAAGATGCATGTAAGGTCAAGTGTAGTTTGGCACTCATAGCCAATGCTAAGCAAACAAATGTGAAGATCGGTTTTGAGTGATGCCATCTGCTTTGAAGGAAAGGGGGAACGAGGGAGGGAGAAACCACCTCCTAAACCCCATAAGCCGTGCCATTCCCCCTTCCTACCTACCTACCTACCTACCTCCCCCTTCAGCCCATTTGCTCATGAAAAATGCTAAGGTTAAGACTTGGCAGCAACTCAGCCCGGTTGGAAACCACCACATTTCCTTTGAGGTTAACAACAGAGGGAAATGTCTAAGTTTTCTGAGGCTGATTGGCTTCCCCATCTGGTAGCCAGCCTGTTTCTGTGGAAATTGAAGATATGCATATGCAAATACATGCTGCAGGCCTCCAGGATCTAAAGCTTTATTTTAAAAAAGGAAAAAAGACAGCCCCAGAATTGCTTGGAGGAGGAGAAGGAGGAGGAAAGTGCTGACAAGGAATGGCCTGGCCAAGACTCCAAGGTCTGCCCCAAAAGCACCACTTAGCCAAGGCCGCCCCCAAGGAATAATGAGAAACAGGCATGGAGGTTTCTGCTGTCGGAGTCTTTGGCTTGCAATGCCTTGAGAGGAAAGAACTAATGCAAAGGCCCTGTTAGGCTAATAATACAGGTTATGGACTGTGAATTTGCTGGTTCACCACAGCTATACGACTCCTTTCCAAACCTCGTTGAGGAAGAGCTCAGGTTCATGTTCCTGGCAATGGCATCTTCCCCATGGAGATCTCCTGATTTCACCATGTAGTTAGTTGCTGGTGGATCTCTTTGCGCTGCTCTATGACTATAATAGAGATGAACTGAACTGGTGGATCTCCATGTCTCCTTACTCTGCTCCAGGCTGTAGTCCAAATTGTAAACAAAGCTGCTGACCCTGTTTTGGAAAACAGAGGTTATGCACCTTCAAAGTTCAGGCTGAAACCTGGAGCAGAGTCACTCCCCCCTCCATCGTCATGAGCAGGGGTAGGCAACCTTTCCCCTTGAAGGGCCGAGGGACTTCAGCTCCCAGAAGCCTCAGCCATGTTGGCCAATAGTCCCATGTTGGCCAATAGCTCCTGGGATTCTGGGAGCTGAAGTCCCTCGGCCCTTAAAGGGGAAAGGTTGCCTACCCCTAGTCATGAGCATAGGAAGCCACTAGCCCCCGCTTCATATATATTTGGGGTTGTTGTTGTTGTTGTTGTGTGCTTTCAAGTTGTTTCTGACGTAGGCTTTCTTGGCAAGATTTGTTCAGAAGAAGCTTGCCTTTGCATCCCTCTGAGGCTGAGAGACACTCAATGAGCTTCTATGAAACCATGCTGGCTCTCATAATATTGGGGGTGCAATAGTTTTTTGTCATGTGCCCATTCACAAATGCATCAGCATGCCCATGTCATCATCTCAGATCTTGGCCAACATCCAGTCTTGCTCAATAGAGGGTCCAAACCCTCTGAGTTAGCTCCCAATAGAGCAGATGACCTATTGAATCTGTTATTGACTAGTGAGTCAACATGTAGGTACATCCCATCGATTCAGTGGGTGTACTATAACTGGGACCACTACAGTTGTCCCCTCCCTCATAATACATATATATTACAAAAAAACAAACCTTGATTTTTCCGTTTTATATAAGTGGGACACCATTTTGCTATACCATCGTATATCATGGGACTTGAGCATCCTTAGATTTTGGTATCCATGGGGGTCCTGGAACCAGACTCCAGCAGATACCAAGAGCCCACTGTAGTAAGACCTGGGTTTATGCCTTCACAGCCTCTGAAACAAGAAACACAGCCATTTGAGATGAAGCCAGTGAAATCTGGATGGATTGCCTGCTCTTCCCAAAGGCTCTTCATGCTACAAATGCCACAAGCCATTATGTAAATTACCTGACAGTCTCTCTACCACCCACCCACCCCCTCTCTCTCTTATATATATGTATATTCTTATCTTCCTGGAAACCACTTTTCTTTCTTAACCTCTTGCTCATATTTCACAAGAAAAGAGGCCTTGGGGGCGCTGAGGAAGGTGCGCATGGAAGGCTGTACACTTTCATCAGGATCTCTCCGGCGGCTGTGTCGTCGGTTGGAAAGAGACAGGCTGAGCATCTCTGACAAGGACGGGTTTTGAAAGAAGACTGGAGGCCCTTTAACATTCCCGACACATCAAAGGGGAAATCTAGATGAAAACAGATTCATTTGCCTTGGAGAGGATCCCTGCGCTTCTTTGATATTCCTCCTCCTCCTCCTCCGCCTCCTTCTCTATCTCTGCATGGACTGAGATGCCCCCAGGCAGCAGAACTGTTTTGTCTAATATCCTATGCGGACAGACGACAGGCCTGTGAAGCGAATGTACTCTCTGTCTCTCTTTCTTTCCTTCTGTCAGAGAAGAATGTCACAGTGGCTCATAATAGGTGGATTTTCATCTCATTGTCATGAGACAATGAACAACAGGCGCGCCACGAGGAGACATTAGATTCCTTTCTTCAGATAAATACATTCCATCAATGACAAAGAGAGGTACATGAGGGCGGGGGAAGACGGTGGTACAGTCAGTCGCAGGGGAAGTATCAAAGGACCTCAGAAGTGGGGGATCTGACAGGTTGACAGAGACGTAACGGCCGGCCGTGATCTTCATTGGCACGCTGGAGTGTCACCAGGAGGAGGAATCGGCTCAGAGGCTTCCAGGAGAGACAGACACACAGCAGGTGGAAGGCAGCATCTGGAAACAGTGCAAGGCGATTCCTTATTGAGAGGACCCCTGGGCTGGGTGAGGTTGGTGTTGGTGGCAGGCAACAGCTGTCCGGACGGTGGATGGAGGAAACGTCTTTCCTGCAGGCCTTCCCACTTTGCCCTTGTCCTGATCGTGCCTGTGGGCAAAGAAGATCCATGTGGCCCAAAA